GACCAAAAGTTACCACACCTGCACCGGATCGCTACATTCGACTGTTCCACCTACGTCATTGCAATGCCATAGCTACGGAGACAGCAGGACGCATCCCTGGTTTGAGGAGGATATCGGACCAGACTGTCAGGATCCATCTTCGAGAGGCTTTAATCCGACCCAGAAGACAAGTTATCGTCCCTGTTTTGCAAAAGATCCATTGACAGAGACGCTTGCTTTGGTGCACAGCCTTGGAATTTGAGAAACTGGAGACGAGTGTGGTTTAGTGATGAATCACAATTTCTTCTTCACCGTTGTGATGGAAGAGAACGTGTCGTCGAAATGAGCGTTTTGCCCCAAATTGTGTACGTGAATTCGACAATTTCGTCGGTGGTAGTCTCATGTGTAGGGGGTCATATCCTAAACCAGGAGATCTGACTTGGTTGTGGTTCAGGGAAATTTGACAGCAAATCTCTACATCAATCAAATTCTTCAATCTCACCTTCTTCCAATCATTGACCGCCAGAGGGAGCTGTTTCAACACGACAATGGTCCACCGCACACAGCTCGAGTCGCGGTAGACTACCTTCGTAATGCCAACATCAACGCCTTGCCCTGCCCATCGAGATCTCCAGATCTCAACCCAATCAAACACCTCTGGGATGAACTCGATCAACGTGTACGTCAACGTCAGAATACGACGCAGACACTCCCACAACAGGCCAACGCGTAACAAGCAGAATGGCGCTGAATTTCGCAGGACAGAATTCGTACACTTATCCAGTCAGTGCCGAGAAGATGAGGAGCAGTGATTGCTGCCTGGGGCGGTCACACGAGTTCAGCACAACCTTGTGGCCTTATGTGACATGACAATGAACAGTTTTCAATGCCTTTGAACAACGGCAACATGTGACTTTCGAGCTCCAAAATTTGTATCTATGATATTAAATTAAATATATTGACTTTATTAGATACAAATTTACTAAAAATCTACCTGTGCGTTTCTTCTTTTTTTTGAAGAGTGTGAAAAGATTAACTGCCAAATTTCATAAAACATTCATCCTAAAATCATTATAAGCTATCTGTCAAAGTTCAGACATATACACATACTCAGGTAAAAAAACAAATGTGTTTCAGATAAACTTGTGTAAATGTTATGTTATTTGAATATAACAACATAATATTTGGTCATTCGTCTGATCAAGGTTTTATCAGCACAAATTCATTGCGAAAACCCATACCTGGTCGCTGGATACAGGGCGACCTGCCCTAAAAGAGGGGTGGTGTAACAACTCAATTAACAATGTCAACACGGGCGTGACTACCATTTGCATTTTGATACAGGCGAGGCAGAGCTGGTCCATTGAAGACACCAGATGATTAATTATAACCTCGGGGAAGTAGAGATGTCTTTATGAATATGTATTGAAACATGCATTATTTAATTTCAGAATAAATTTACTTTTGTTTAGCTTTATGGTACTTTTTCCGCTACCATATATACTTCTGTGCTTTAACAGATAGTTTTTTTTATATTTGCCCACATGGCTAGTTAGGTATAAAACCTGCATATACTGAAAAATATTATATTTGTATGACCAATTTAGATATTACAATTTGTATCTCCTCCAGAACAGTCCTAGAATGTTCCATACCAAACTACATGCACTGCAATTAAGTCTGCCTCATGTCGCTACTCAAAGTGCGTGTGCAGTTCCTTCAATCAACAAACCTGAATCATAACTGCTTGCTTTGTTTACCTACAATTGTGTCAGTTTTCAATACGTCCGTCCTGCGTGGTAATGGTTATTAATGTGGTATGTTGATATAGTTGAGTCTCCGATAGTCGCATATGAATCTAGTGTTACCCCCAAGGACTAAAGGTGTATATATGACATGGTGCATGGATACCTAACACCTCATTTCCATGCAATCTGATCTAAGGGCGAAAAAGGGGCGGGGTACGGGTGTCATATACATGTACAACGTGTATATCGTTTGTAAAATGAATAAAATGAATAAAATGTCCATGGGTACTGAATAATTTGAAAAAGCCACAAAATACACCACAGTTATAGAATATATTAATGAGAATCAATACTTATTTCTGATAATTTATTAAATAAATATGAGAGAATGATTTATAATTAATAATGTACAAAGGTAATTATCAGCACAAGGGACATGTTCCTATTAACAATGACTGGTTATACTTACATATGTCTACGCTGACTCATGTCTGTTCAAGAAAAAAAAAATTAATCCATTAATTGAATTATGTCAGGGTTTGTAATGGTGATAGTGTTACATGACTGTCAGAATCAAATGACAGATGCGTTAATGGGACACACATTTATCAAACTGAGGCTGTTATAAGGTGTGGTTCATATATACCTTATACAACATATCCCAATGTCAATGTGTGCCTGATTGTTTCTAGACAGCTATCCCAGGGCTTGATTTCTAGAACCTGATTTGACTTACACCAGGTGGTACTTGACATGAAAACGTAGACACCAGACAAAACCAGGTTGCCCCCTGGTTCCATAAGTTGATCAAATCTGAAACAAACTTAGGCCGATTTGCTGCCAATGGCACATAAATTAATGACATATTGCTGTGAGACGTAAAAAGAACACGTGGTTTTGGTAAGGGTCTCAATTATCTGTGTGTCAATATCACTGCTAAATTCTACTAAATATCACCACTAAGCTCTACTAAATATCACTACTAAATTCTACTTAATATCACTACTAAATTCTATAAAATATAACTACTAAATTCTACTAAATATCACTACTAAATTCTACTAAATATCACTACTAAATTCTACAAAATATCACTACTAAATTCTACTAAATATCACTACTAAATTCTCCCAAATATCACTACTAAAGATCATATACAGAAGGGTATGTTTACTAAAGGGGTCCATCATCTTTATCAACATTAACTGCTGGGCAGTAGAAAGTGTAGAATTGAAAATATAAATTCAACCAAATATTCCAAACGATATCAAAACGGTCCTAGGCTGAAACGCCGAAACACTGCACACTTAAGGTCCAAAACGCAATTAAGAAACCATCTAATAACCATTTCTTGTTTTGTTTTTCATTTTTAGCCACCATCCGACATGGGTGTAAACTCCCTTTTGCCCGGCTGTTTATGAAACACTACATCACAATACACATATATTAGATCTGACGTGACAAATCTGGATATTCATATAATTTTCATCACGATTTTACCGTTTACACCCAATGGAATATGTTGGGGCAGATGTTCAAAATGTCCTCTGGCGCTGACTTTGAAGAAGTGCTTGTTGTGTTGCTTCACAACATGCATTCAAAGTACTTAACTCATATTCAAAGAATGTAGCCATGCTATTATCAAATATATCATGTCAATTAAGGACAAACAAATAGTGAGTGAGTGAGTGAGTGAGTGAGTGTTTATCTTTTCACAACATTCCATCCACTTCACGACGGGGAAGACATGAACAACGGGCGTCACATCTTGTGTCCTTGTGTGACTAGCCAAGGCTTTAGCCACAAAGTTTCTCCACCTCACCACTATGTGTCCACAGCCATTGTAACATATCACGGGAAAATAACGTTCATTTTAGCTATATTGTGTCCGTTTATTTCTTCAAAACAATAAGATCTGTTACTCATAATGACAGAGAGAGTGTTCTTTTCAGTTGAAAGATATGATTTTACGACTGCTTCTCCTACTTTTGACGAATGACGATATTCTTTGGGTATGCTGGTGATTGAGAATGGTTTTATGCCGCTTTTAGCCATATTCCAGCAATATCACGGTGGTGGCTCCAGGGATGGGCTTCACACATTGTATCCATGTAAGGAAAAGACCCCGTACCAACTGCTGACGAGCGAGCACACACACCATTAGCAATATAGGCCATCCAAACGTGCAGCTGCACAATCATATACACAATGCACGCTCTTACTTTACCTCGGCGATCAAATTATGATCTCTCATTGGACAAGAGCCATTGTGTTACAAATAAAGTCATCATCATCATTCTTGAATAAATGATATATTACACTTAAATGTTATCGGTCTAGGAGACATACATATGTTGTTTTCTTCACGCCTACATATCAGTTACAACAATCGACTCCGCGTAGCTAATATAGCTTAATGGTTTGCTCATATCGTACCATGCATAAAATCTTGATTCTTTTACCCACATGGTCCCTTTACGTAAATATAAAACGCAAAAGTCTCGATTTTCTGCCGAAACAGGTGAGGTGAGGTGAAATTGGGTTTAACGTCGCGCCCAAGATTATTGCACTTATATAGCGACGTGCATGCACGTGTGTGTGTGTGTGTGTGTGGCTGCTTGTACTAGTCCGGACTGATGCCGATTTATACTGCTAGCCCACTGAGATACCATGCCGCAGTTTAACATAAATACCCCACTCAGACACGGTATACTGACTCCGAGCCGACCAGTCCTAGATTTAGCCCCTTAATGCCTAGCGCCAGACAGGGAATCAACAAGTACCATCTTTTAACATCTTTTGGTATGACGCGGCCGGGGATCGAACCCCGGACCTTCCGCTCTCCGGGCGGACGCTCTACCACTAGACCACGGAGGCGGTCTCTGCCGAAACAGATTCCACTGGGCGTAAAATAGTAAATACAGACTATATGAATGGATCCCTGAATCTTAATGATGACACCGGGTGTTCTTTTAAAGGGAAGACATGTCCTGCTCCGTTAGCACCCACGACTCACACACAATTTGCTTTGAAAAGTAAGTGTTTGTTTCGATGGGGTTCTCGGTGTCACCCTGAGCTGTGATGTCGTCACCTTCTGCATGAATAGTTTCGTAAAATATTAACTGTTCAAATCAAATTATAAAATATAAATTCGTGTACAACTCTTAGGTTGAACGCTCACTTGAAGAATGATAATAAACTTCTTTAAAAATATTATTTTCAAGGTCGCAAGGTCGTTGGCTATCTAGGACTGCAATCTTTATTCTCGGTGAGAGATAATGTTTGATTCGAGATAATGTTCCAGTCACCCATTGGTAAACATGCGAGAACTATTTACCCTACTCGTTTTACACATGGTAAGTATTTTATTGCTAACAAGTTCGTAAGGTGAATATTATTCGTTTTCGTTGAACTATTAGTATATGTATCGTCGGGAGACCTACCATCTCCACAATGTGTTTAATTGTGGCCACAGTGGCGTCTTCTATCACATATGCCGGGAACGGAATAAGGCCAGGCAGTCTTCACAATTGTACTGATAAGAAACAAAGTCAGTTCCTGTTGGGAACAAAAGCGACACTTAATGGAATGGTCATATGTTATGGTGGTGGTGGGTTGGTCAGTGAGAATAAGGGTAGGATCACCCCGATTGTTTTTTAAACATGACAGTCTCTTGGGGAGGGTCATATGTTATGGTGGTGGGGGGTTGGTCAGTGAGAATAAGGGTAGGATCACCCCAATTGTTTTTTAAACATGACAGTCTCTTGGGGAGGGTCATAAACATTAACACACATATTTTGGGAGGGTCATGATAAAATAGACATTTGATAATAAAATATTGGGTTGCTTTTGCATTTTGTCTTTTCAGAGAGGGCCGGGGAAAATATGTACAAGGACATGGGGAGGGTTATCCAAAACATATGACAAGCATTAGGGGAGGGTCACTAGTTTCAGTACATTAGTACGTTAAAAATCCTTGAAACCCACAGAATGACGTACCCTTAAGACACTTAACCATTTTTTACACTTTACCTTGGCTCATTAAGTGAAGGGGTTAGGTAGGGAGGTAAGTCGGCTGATTGGTTATTAAGAGTAAATATGTCGGAAACACAACGATTGAGGGTTGTCTAATTTTGCTCTGGGTGCTTTTCAACATTTGATATTTTTTGTAAATCACCGATGAAAAGTAAGATCAACATCTATTTCCCACAAAGTACGAAATTATTAAAGCTTCCACTCTCCGGGCGGACGATCCGGAAAACATGACATGTACGATGAACATTGCTTGTCGTAAGAGGCGACTAACGGGATTGGTGACTTGGTTGGAGCATGTCATCGTATCCCAATTGCGTAGATCGATCATGATGTCAATCACTGGATTTTCTGGTCCAGACTCGATTATTTACAGACCGCCGTCATATAGCTGGGATATTGCTAGAGTGCAGCATTAAACAACAAACAAATAAACAATAAACTAGGACAGTTGATAATCTTTTGTACACGTGTGTGATGTTGACAGTTATGTTACTTATCCCCTTCCCTTTTCCCTTCACTGTCGTCGGTATCAGGCGCAATCTCACCCTCTGTACCTGACAAAATATTAATTGCATTTTTTTCAGACATTAGGGATATACACAGCCCTTCCCCCACCACCTAATGACGTCACTCAGCATCACGGTAGGTGATCATCAAACATGTTTATTATTGTCTGTAATGTGCAACCAACCCTTTTTACATCATTTAAGAAGTGTCAGCTTAAACGCCATTACAGCGCTGTTTCTAGGCGTTTTCTTGTCAACTAGACCATTGAGAAACATTGGTAAGAAAAGGTTACATTAATGTTAGATTAAATTATACACACAGAAAAGGAATGCGTGTTGTGGGGACAGCTTGGTATGAGGATATAATCCGCAGACTCATTTCGTCATTGTGACTTGAATATTAATGTGGCGACACCGATGATGACGAGCAGTCAAAAAGCTAAAAATATTTAGGGTGGAGTATTTTTGCACTTTACCCTGGAGTATACAAGCAGGTTGTAATGAGCGTCCATTATCTGTGGCAGTAGGGTAGCCTAGTGGTTGAGGCGTTAATCCGTTCGCTCGGGGTCCGATTTTAACGAACTGCTCAATTCAATCTAATTCTCTCCAGGATCTATGGTACATATACCCAATGTGGATCTGTGTGTTCTGTGTTGTTCGCCTTTCCGAATTGAGGTGGCAAAGACATGATACCGAATCTTTTTTCAAAAATGCCATCAAGAATCAAGCATCCTTCATTTAGACATGATGGTTATAGTTCGCTCAGGGTTCATCTCATATGGAGGTTAGAGTGAGTGAGTGAGTGAGTGAGTTGGGTTTAACGCCACTTTTAAAAGTATTCCAGTTATATCACGGCGTGTCAGCTTAATGTGGGAGGAAAGCCGGAAGTGATGCAGGTCTTAGCCGTTTACCACTTCGGTGAAACCCACGAGCACGGGTATGGTGCTTACAAACCTAGAAACATAATCGGGGCGAACCGGGATTCAAACCCACAATCATAGGTTTCTGGCGTGCCCAAGGAACGCAACTCTGCACAGCGAATCGCGGCGCCTTAGACGACTGGACCCCCATCCCCCGTGGTTTAGAAGATAGAGCCTCTGCCCAGAGAGCGGAAGGTCTGGGTTCGATCACCTGGTCGCGTCATACCAAAACACATTGAAAGATGGTACTTGTTGTTACCTTACCTGGCTTTCGGCATACTGCGATAAAACAACGACTGGTCGGCTCGGGGTCACTATGCTGTGTCTGAGTAAAGTATCCATGTTAAACTGAGGCATGGTATCTCAATGGGCTTGCAGAATATAACCGGCGTAAGGCCGGACAAGTACAAATAGCCACATACACGTGCATGCATGTCGCTTTATAAGTACGATCATCTTGAAAGCGACGTTAAACCCCGTCTCACCACACATCCCTATGCTTTCACGCGTGCACCCAGTACACGCCGTTCCTAGTCTGAAGTGATATTTTAGTGTCAATGCACATAACTGCATCCTTTTCCCCACAGTCCGCGCCGACAGTGATGAAGTGCCTATCTGCATCCCCCCGACGAGTATCTGCTCGCTGAACGACAGAGGCCACCTACAGATAGAGTTCTCTGCCCTTGGTAGGGCCTTCAAACTCCATCTAGTTCCCAGCCATCCTCTTACTTCCGCCTACGGGGATTATGGGATACCAATCATGATCTGGGGAAAAGAGAGGAAGAAAGTCAAGATGCTTAAATTTCACGAGGTTAGAATAAAGAGAGTTTCGTATTTCTAATTCAGCCAGTATTATTTATGAGAAGTCGTTGTTGTTGACACAGAAGTCATAGTAGCAGTCAATGTCTGTAGATTTAACAGTAGGGTGAGTGAGTATGGTTTTAAGCCTGTGGGTTTTCCAGCCATATCACGGAGGGGCATGTAACAGTAGAAGTAGAAGTCATAACAACTTTACAACCGTATTAATTATTAATTAACACTTTCATCATACACGTACTCGTACATTAAAGGTGAGGTGAGGTGAAATGGGGTTTAACGTCGCGTCCAAGATTATTGCACTTATATAGCGACGTGCATGCAGGTGCATGTGTGTGTTTGTGTGGCTGCTTGTTCTAGTCCGGACTGATGCCCATTTATAGTGCTAGCACACTGAGATACCATGCCGCAGTTTAACATGAATACCCCACTCAGACACAGTATACTGACTCCGAGCCGACCAGTCCTTGTTTTAGCCCCTTAATGCCGAGCGCCAGACAGGGTAACAACAAGTACCATCTTTTAACGTCTATTGGTATGACGCGGCCGGGGTTCGAACCCCGGACCTTCTGCTCTCCGGGCGGACGCTCTGCCATTAGACCACGGAGGCGGTCTCATACATTAAATCGGTCTCATACATTAAATCGTATTTTCGTGAAGGCCGAAGCTATAATCACCGTTGGAGACTTCAAAAGCGTTCATGTCTTCTTTATATCCACCTCAGCACAACATTCACTTCTACCATGACCAGGACACACTCGGTGCATTTGCCGTCCAGTTCCACGTGTCTGCTAGCGGCACTCAGTTCATATCTCTGGTAAGATTGTTTGATTGTTGTCTAAAGCCGCATTCAGCAATATTCCAGCTACGTGACGGCGGTCTGTAAATTCGAGTCTGGACCAGACAATCCAGTGATTGACATCATGTCCATCGATCTACGCAATTGGGATCAACCAAGTCAGCGAGCCAGATGACCCGATCCCGTTAGTCGCCTCTTGCGACACGCACCGTCGCCTTTTATGGCAAGCATCGGTTGCTGAAGACCTATTCTACCCCGGATCTTCACGGGTGTATCGCTGGATTTTACGCTGACATGGTGAAAATCAACAAATAAATCAATTTTATTAGGTGGTCACGTGTGTTCATTTGATTATAAAAAGTCACTTTAGCATATTGAAAGAAACGCAACGATACAATATACATGTATACTACTCAACTTTTCATAGGATTAATCAGATGTCATTCTATTTAAATATACGCTTGACATATCATGAGAATGGAAAGATACAAATATCCCTAGCGGAGTAGTTTACGATAAGATAGGCGTTCAATCAAAAATAGCGACGTATATTTGCGTTTCATCATCAAAGTTGAAAAGCCTTCTTTTGTAATGGGGATGCTTTTAACAGACACGCAAGGAGTACGTTGGAGGAAATGTGTAATTTTTTAGGACGGCATCCTGCCCGGCATTGACTACGACGTTGTTGTCAGTCCAGTACGGACTTCCGGTTCGAGATGGGCGCAAGATGGCGGCGTCACATCTCTGCACAAAGTCTTGAAGAGAATCCCTGACAAGACTTCACACGCAGTAAGTGTTAGATGCGCCTGTAAAATATCGGATACCTGCCGTCACGTTTATCGTGTATCAGATTTTTGGATCGGGACATTAGGATTTTATTGATTATATTTTGTCCGCGAAGAGTTGGTTGGTTGGTTGTTTTTTTGTTTAACGCCGCACTCAGCTATATTCAAGCTATATGACGGCGGTCTGTAAATAATCGAGTCTGGATCAGACAATCCAGTGATTATTATCATGACGTCGATCCACGCAATTGGGATCGATGACATGCATCATCAACCAAGTCAGCGAGCCTGACCACCCGATCAGTCGCCTTTTACGACAAGCATAGTCACCTTTTACGGCAAGCATGGGCTGCTGAAGACCAATTCTACCCCGGAATCTTCACGGGTCTGTCCACGAAGAGGGCAATAAAAATACATCGAGGTATACAAAACACACAACTGAACAGACATGTAACTAATCCTTGCCAATGCCAACTTAAATTTAAAGTGAAAATTGAGACCTAGTCCAATGTTCGAGATTAAACTATGTATTTTTATCTCGAATTCAAGATAAGCGGTCAAATGTATACGAATTTATGTAGTGGGTTGGTCGGGACCGGAGAATAGGTTCGAGATATCGGTACATTCGTGTTAACGGGGTCCGAATTTAACTGCATGGCCGCATACAAGGCCGCCATATGGTGCTCTCCTGCTTGTCGTTATAACACTGAGGGGGCACGGGTGGCCCAGTCTTCTAAGGCGCCGAGATTCGCTGTGCAGAGTTGCGTCCCTTGGGCACGCCAGAAACCTATGATTGTGGGTTCGAATCCTGGATCGCCCCGATTATGTTTCTAGGTTTGTCAGCACCATACCCGTGCTCGTGGGTTTCACCGAAGTGGTACACGTCTGAAACCATCACTTGGGGCTTTCCTCCTTCAATAAGCTGACACGCCGTGATATAACTGGAATACTGTTAAAAGCGGCGTTAAACCCAACTCACTCACTCACTCACTATAACACTGAATATTTATCTGGCGTCGCCAGCCTTTTGTAAATGTATCCAATAACTGATACTTCTCATCTGACTATACACAAACATACTGCAACGACCATTTCATCAAGTGATGTGGTGGCACGTGGTCCTATGCACAGCCACAGGTAACATCAAATCAGGTGAAGTTAAGCAACGTCGGTCGCGGATAGGTGGCAGAGTTCGGCATCCTGGCTCCTGAGAGTTTCTAGAAAGTCCTGCCCCACACTGAAGCACATGCAGCACATGTGGTGTCTCCTTGGGCAAGTGACTTTGTTCGAATTGTGCCTCAGCAGTAAATGGGTACCCGGTAGGATGAGATGTGGTTGTTAACCTTCCAGCGGGCAGGCAGCTTGGGATGTATACTCCCCATGGAGCTGAGAATGATTGTTGAGCGCACACTGATACATTGACCGGGGTAATAAATATCTAAGCGTTTTGAGCATGCTTTTGCTCAAACTATTATAAGTAGTAGTATCGTACCAGTCACTTGGAGAACAAAAACATTACATGATCAAACAGTGACACTCGTTAAATTACGCATGGGCACCTATTCGACCTTTCAAACCTCATGGGCAATATATATAGGTCAACTATACATGTACCTTGTAAATAGTGGTGTCAGAACGGATTGTTCTCTTTTCAAATAAGGTCTTTCCAAATGTGACGTCAAATACAACTTGAAGTCTTTGATAGACATTTTGAAGTTGGAAGAACATGAATACATGACACTTTGTATGGATAACAGATTCTTTGTCACGACGTTTCAGAGCTATTTCTTACTCCTTCATCGGGTGATTGAGCAAGAAGTAGTTCTGAAACGTCGTGAAAAAGAATATTTAAAAGAAGTTGTTATCCATAAAAAAAAGTCTCAAACACGTCCCATTTTAATTCTGGAAACCCAAAAGTCCAGAAACTCTACGCTCTTTGCCCAGTCTCGGTTAAAGGTATTTACAAAATTAAACATGCCGTTTTCATGGGAACATACCAAGGAAGAAAAAATGAAAAAAAAATTGTTTAAAAACTCAATATTTAGACTATGTCGCCCATGGGCCTGCCCATGGGCGAAGTGTGGCCCATGGGCCTGCCCATGGGCGAAGTCTGGCCCATGGGTAGGCCCATGGGCAGGCCCATGGGCGAGAATATGTTCCTTTACTTAAAACTCATGATTTTGATTCGCAAATACATTTAATGTATTCATTCAAGTATCATGACACAATATTTAACTCATTTTAACTTAATTCAACGATTTTATAGCGATATTGAAATATTTCGCCCATGGGCGAGAAAAAGGTTTGGCCAATGGGCGAGAATGTGTTCCTGTACTTAAAACTCATGATTTTGTTTCGCAAATACATTAAATGTATTAATTTTATTGAAGTATCATGACACAAAATTTAACTCATTTTAACTTAATTCAACGATTTTATAGCGATATTGAAATATTTCGCCCATGGGCGAGAAAAAGGTTTGGCCCATGGGTAGGCCCATGGGCAGGCCCATGGGCGAGAATATGTTCCTTTACTTAAAACTCATGTTTTTGTTTCGCAAATACATTTAATGTATTCATTTAAGTATCATGACACAAAATTTAACTCTTTTTAACTTAATTCAACGATTTTATAGCGATATTGAAATATTTCGCCCATGGGCGAGAATATGTTCCTGTACTTAAAACTCATGTTTTTGTTTCGCGAATACATTAAATGTATTTATTTAAGTATCATGACACAAAATTTAACTCATTTTAACTTAATTCAACGATTTTATAGCGATATTGAAATATTTCGCCCATGGGCGAGAAAAGGGTTTGGCCCATGGGCGAGAATATTTTCCTTTACTTAAAACTTATGTTTTTGTTTCGCAAAATACATGCAGGTGTTCTTACTATTTTCATGGCACATATTGTAACACAATTTTACTCAATTCAGCTATTTTACAGATTTATTGAAATAGTTCGCCCATGGGCGAGAAAAGGTTTTGCCTTCGAAATCCTTGATTATTATATCATGCCAGAGTTCTGACATTCAGTGACAATGCTGTTGAACAGTAGAATCTGATTGACGTATTTTGCAGAACCTGTTTGACACTATGGGTTCCAGGACCACTAACACTCGGAGCTGAAAAAGTTTGGTCCTAACCGCACCCAACATCTTTAATGAACCCGGCCTTATCTCTCAAAACGTTTTGGCAGTTTATCATACGAATTCATGTGCGTGTACAACATTAAATTTTAGTTAGTTTCTATTTCATTTCCCATTTTATGACCCGTTGATACATCCCACTGTGCAATTACGTGACAGGTACGCGTGCGCGTATTTTAATGGAAAGAAACTATTCGTCTTTTATTGCATAACGTTTGGCTGAATATCTTACATTCTAACGAAATCTCGAAATAATTATTTAATTACAAGCAGTGTCGAACTGACCAGTAGGAATTATGTTTCAATGCGATTGAGGAAAACGTGAGTGAATATTGTGACACTAAAGCAACTTTTAACTGCATTGTCACTTTTGGTATGAAAATGGTAATAGTTCAGAAAAACGTAACAGCCTTCTTATGATAATTCTCATTAGTACGTTGTGTCTAATTACAGTGTCGGCCTTATTTACAGGTGATTCTACAATACTTGTTGTCGGTCAATTACAATCTGCCACACCACGCGTGAATAAACAGTTATGCATGTGTTGCTGTGGGCAAATACCTAGCCTGTACATGTATATTTTTGTGGATACATGTATTACATATTTTCGTTGATATGTGGATATATTAAGCACCAAGACACAAAAAGTTTATGAAAGATGAATTTGTGCCTTGATATATATATTCAACGCGAACGAAGCTTGTATTTTCTCCGCGATCCTGATGTGTATCATCGTTTAATTGGTCATTCATTAAAAGTATGTTGTGAGGCGATATCAAAGGAGCCGCTCAATATACACAGTGTCGTCCGTTTCGCGTGAACTACCACCCTACCCTGTCAGTAAGAGTTATGTAATCGGTACACAAATATATTTGGTGCGATGTCAGTGTGGAAGGAGTTTGAATTACGTCCGCCAGTGGCCACAGAAAGTATAGTACCAATCAACAAGGCCAATGCCGTACTAATAACCTAGTGACTCGCGTAACAACGGCTGTCAATATGTCTGCTACATCTACCATACCATCATCCCTGTCACAACTGGCGTATTAACGGCTTATTCAAAATATTAATTGTAGAAATGTCGTTACCAGACTAACGTACGTCGTATTCAGTCCTCAACTGGATGTTACATTCCTTATATCAGTTAACAGCCCTGTTTGTGAAAATATTTACTAGACATAAGATTTAAAGACTAATAAAATCAATTGTAAGACCGCATAGACCATAAAACCGAATAAAATATGTCTTGGTATCATCTCTTGTGTATTAGATGATGGCAATGACCGGAAATGTTATAACGTTAGATTAAGAAGGAGAAACATTAAAGTGTTTTACAATACTTGGAAACATGAGCAATAAGATGTAGCAACATAAACATGCATGGAATAGGGAAAAAGGATGAAAACAAATTGAAAAGGATTTTAATACAAAATTATCGAACTAAATAACTTGCCTGAACAGAAAGGGTACCCAAACTTGTTTGACAGTTATTCGTGTGTTGTAGACTGTCGAATGGGACACATGTGTGTACGTAGGGTACGCATATCTATTGCAAGTTTTAGTACTCATACACTTTCTCTTTTTGTGTTTTGTTTGTTTGTTAGTTGTATAACGCCACACTTAGCAATATTTCAGCTGTATGACGGCGGTCTGTAAATAATCGAGTCTGGACCAGACAATCCAGTGATTGACATCATGTGCATCTTTCCACGCAATTGGGATACGATGACATGCATCAACCAAGTCAGCGAGCCTGACCACCCGATCCCGGTAGTCGCTTCTTACGACAAGCGCTGTCGCCCTTTTACGCCAAGAATGGTTTGTTGAAGATCTTCACGGGTCTATTGAATG